TTCTGACCAAAGAAATGCTTCAAAACCTTCTGACAAATACTGTATCTCCTCAGCCATAAACACCAGATACTCCTGATCGGGAGGATGTTATATTTAGATTTGTTTGGGGACACCAGAGACAGAGTTACACTTGGTGATAGAGACTAAAGTTACACGGCCACTAAACTGTACTGTAATTTTTCCTTTACACTCCAATTATTTTCAGATTAAACTTTTCTAAGGGAACCTAAAGTACAGTGTTTCTTTAGACTCAAACTGACTTTGAAAAGCTCAGAATGTGGTTCTTTTCCGTGCACTCCAGCTGCCTCTTCAGCCCCGTTTGCTGCTGAGCACTTTTTTTCCTGCTCTCTTTGATTCTCACTTATCAAGTTTTGCAACTTGTCTGCATTTTTTTTCTTTACATTTTTTTTTACCAATATTGGGTATGTGTTTTCATGAAGAATTTTCCCAAAAGGCCTAGTTCCGAGCGCTCAAATCTTTTCAAAGTACACTTTAATTAATAGATTTATCTTTTGATATAGCCACAGGCAATTAGTTCCAACAAGAAAATGGATATATTGACATACCTTGTAGGCTCTAAACGTCTATGAGCATGAATATTGATAGGCCTCTCATTAATTAGGCAGGACTTAGAAAAAAAAATGAAGCCTTCTGATGTAATAAGTGCTTCAGAAGCTCGCAATCACCTGAGACTCGCTCAGTGCCTGGAGCAGAGATTCAAAGTTAACACCTTGGCTGCGGGAGGGGTTAGCAGTCAGTCAAGAAACCAGAAAGACTAGCTGTGGGACAGCGGCCTTGGCTTTGATCATGAATTAAGCTCTGAACTCTCAAACCGTGCTGGTCTGGTCTCTGCGCTCTTAGAAGTCTCCCTCTCCAGTGAACACTGCTTGCTTTTCCATTAGACAGTTAGCCTAAGAAACATCTTATGGACAAGATATTTCAGGATAAGTGTGGAGTCCTGACGGCTTTCAGGACAACCACACCACAATAACTGGATATTTTCTTTAAGCTGAACACAAAGCAGATATAAAACAGAATTGAATCCTGTTCATTCAATGCAGCATATTTCTTAAAACAGTGGTCTCCAAACTGTGGCCAGGGGGCCAGATGTGGCCCATTGCTTGGCTTTATTCCCCCCACCTACTTTCTGGGGCACTATTCCTACTTATACATAGAAATATTCCTCCTTCTGACTCCAACAATGGGGCATAATTCCACCCACTCACACCAACCACGGAGCACTGTCCTTCCACGCACACCAAAGATATGGTACTATTCCTCCCACTGACACCAACTATGTTTAACCCTTTACTACCTAGCCCCAGCATCCCTTTAGGGTCTTGTTCACATGAGCTTTGGTCTCTGAAGAGTGATCTGAATTCAGATCACTCTACAGAGAACAGTTGGCTGGCAGAGAGGAGATGCTGTATCGCCTCCTCACCACCTGCTTTAACCCCTAGAACCCCACACTAGTGCACTGCCATCTCCCTCCTTCTCTTCCCCCTCCATTTCCCTCCTTCTTCTCTCCCCCCTCCATCTCTGTTCTTCTTCTCTTCCCCCTCCATTTCCCTCCTTCTCTTCCCCCTCCATCTCCCTCCTTCTTCTCTTCCCCCTCCATCTCCCTCCTTCTTCTCTTCCCCCTCCATCTCCCTCCTTCTTCTCTCCCCCCTCCATCTCCCTCCTTCTTCTCTCCCTCCTCCATCTCCCTCCTTCTTCTCTCCCTCCTCCATCTCCCTACTCCTAAAACTCCATCTATCCAAAACTGAGCTCATAATATTTCCTCCCCCACGTGCCTCTTCCCCTGATCTCTTGGTCAGGATCAATAGCACCACTATCAACCCATCCATGCATGCCAGGGTGCTAGGGGTAACCCTTGTTTCTGAACTATCCTTTCAGGCCCACATCCAATTCCTGTCCAAATCATGCCGCTTCAGCCTCTGCAACATCTCCAGAATATGCCCTTTTTGAACCAATGATACCACAAAGCTCCTAATTCACTCCCTGGTTATATCTCACCTTGACTACTGCAATTCCCTCCTTATTTGCTTACCTTTACATAGGTTATCCCCCCTCCAGTCCATCATGAATACTGCTGCTGGGCTCATCCACCTTACCAATCGTCCAGTGTCTGCTACCCCTCTCTGCCAATCCCTTCACTGGCTTCCACTTGCCCAACAAATAAAATTCAAAATACTAACAACTTACAAAGCCATCCACAACTCTTGCCCCAGCTACATCACCAACCTGGCCTCAATATATCAACCAAACTGCTCTCTTCGATCCTTCCAAGACCTTCTGCTCATTAGTTCCCATGTCACCTCCTCCCATGCTCACCTCCAGGACTTCTCCCGAGCTTCTCTCATCCTATGGAACTCCCTGCCCCAATCTGTCCGGCTATCTCCTAATCTATCCACCTTTTAGACGATCCCTGAAAACCTTTCTCTTTAAAATAACCCTATCCTGCTTCTAACTAGTAAACTGCCTTTTATTTCCTCCATCAGCTCATCCCCCCACAGCTTTTACCTTTTGTATCCCTCAACCCTTCCTCCTAGATTGTAAGCTCTAAGGTGCAGGGCCCTCTGTTTCCTCTTGTACCAAATTGTATTGTGACTGTAATGTCTACCTTCATTTTGTAAAGTGCTGCGCAAACTGTTGTTGCTATATAAATCCTGTATTATAATAATACATTTAAAAAAAAGTATACATTTTTGTCAGTTTTATTTTAAATCATCTTTTATATATATATTTTTTTTTACTTATACTACATATTGCACAAATAAATTTTTTTACACTCTGTTAGATGCCTGTGACTTAACAGCATTTCTGGTGGTGGGATTTAGCAAGAAAATCCACAAAGAACAATGGGCAGCCATGTTCAAGCACTATAGATAGCATTTGGGTCACCATGCTGCAATGCCCAACCTTCCAACCAAAAAGAGTGAAATGAGCACTTTCACTTGCACTTTCAGAACTTGTTTACACCAGATGTAGTCAAGTGCAGGGGCGGACTGACCATTTGGAAACTCAGGCACTGCCCGAGGGCCCGGGGTCAGTAGGGGGCCCCATGAGATGCCCCTGGTACCTGTTTCATAGGCTTTTTTTGAGTTTGGCAAGGACACAGGGGCCCCATGATTCCCTGTTGCCCGGGGGCCCCATGAGTTGTCAGTCCACCCCTGGCCAGGTGCTTTTTAAATGCAGTATGAATGCAGTACAAACACATATGTAAGAAAAATGAATGTAATGTAAACCTGGTTTACAACAATGCAGCACTTTCATGCACGTTTACAAAGGTACAGCATGCTGCATTTTTCTGCATTGAAACACACCACAGATGCATGTTTACGCAAGCAAACGCAAGTAAACTCAACTTAGTAAGATGCAAAAATGTTAAAAATGCACTGCAAATGCATGTAATTGTACTACGATTGAACCACACTTTTACCACTCCCCTTTTGCTGCAGAGGCAGCAGTGGAAGGTGTACACATGCCACTGCTGCGAAGCTTTGCTTTGCAGGCGCAACAGGAATTATACCCCTTGTTGCTTTCAGCAGGCATAGCGTCCGAGGAATGTTACCAAATCAAGTGAACAGGACTGCTCTGCAAGTGGCCCATTCACTTGCAATGCGTGCGGGTGTTATGTGCTAGTGTAAGTTTCAAAGGGTTAAAGCAGGCATGAGGAGGCTGTACAACACCTTGCACCCTCTATCAAATGCTCTGTGAAGTGCAGTCTGAACACAGATTGCTCTTCAGAGACCAAACTAGTGTGAACAAGACTTTAGTTTGTTAGCAGGACCAGAAACAATTGAGTACTGACGTGATACTTTTTTTTTTTGCACTAACATACAATTTTGGGGACAAGCTTTCGGGGTATGTCCCCTTCTTCAAGGTCCAGGCAGTACTGGGGACATACCCCGAAAGCTTGTCCTCAAAATTGCATGTTAGTGCAAATAAAAAAAGTATCACGTCAGTACTCAATTGTTTCTGTCGCAAGTGCACTAATACGGCTACAATCACCTTTAGCAGGAACAAGAATGCAGCCAAAGAAGTCAGAACTCTGGATGTCACTGAGTATTCACATCGACCTTTTTTGGCTGCATACTTGTTGCAGTCCAGCAACTCACTCTGTGTGACATTAGGAGTCACTCTCACATGACATGACAGTTTTTACTTTAATTCTGCAAGGAGATGCATGGATGCCTCACCCTCCCCTTTTATGAGTCATTTTGCATTGTGTGTAATCTGATTTCTCTGCTTTTCAAATCTGTTTCAAAACATAGAGGTTACCTTAACCTGCAGAAAGCTGATGCTTTTGTTTAGAACTCGTCATATGCTGGTTGCAAGCTGTAAATATTTATTTTTTACCTTTCTAAAAAAAAATATATATTTCTAAAAATGTTAGATATAAAGATATACCCTAACAAAACAGTGTATTCTTTAGCATACCAAGATGGTATGATAATCCTATTAATACACAGCAAATCGAACATTTTTTATGCTGGATTTTTCTACTAGCTTCTTAAAGAATGAACCACTGTAAATCTAATTATTTTAATATGGCTGTGTGCATGGCCATACACCCTTTGATAAATTATTGATTTCTTTTTCGATCGATCCCTTCCAATAGCAATAATCAATCTATAGTTGACAACCCATTCAGCTGATATGCCACACACTGGGAAGTGGATCTGGATCAATAGTTGGAAGATATGATTGCAAATGATCAATCGCATCTCTGTTGTCACCATGCAATATCACCATTTGATGGATCGAAATACAATATAACTCATGAACAAAGCATCTCAGTGCTACCATCGAGGTAACACAATTGATAATTTTCCACCCTGGCTCAGTTTGGTCAAATCCATCCTAAATCGAGTCTACATCAGTCAGAAGGGGAGTTATACCCAATATACCTGTCAGAGGCATAGCTACGGGGAGGCAGGGGGGTACATATGTACCTGGGCGCCAAGGTACAGGGGCACCAAAATGAGGCTTACAACCAGGGGCGTATTTGCCACGAGGCAAACAAGGCGTTTGCCTAGGGCGGCACTTTTTAGGGGAGCGGCGCGGTTCCAACGGAAGGGACACTTAGTACAGGGGTGGGTAGCGGGCTGCTGTGTCTTACCTGGCTCTGTGTCCCAGTCCCATGACGATCCAGTCCAGGAGGCGCTGCTGGAGAGTGGTAGAGTGGTCCGCAGGTCCGGTGTCTTCTTTCCCCTGGATGCGATGTGTGGGTGGGATGACATGCCGCCCCTGTCATCTGCCCCCCCCCCCCTCGGGATCACTGGACAGCCTATGGAGCTTGTACCTCCCTCTGCAAGCTCCGCCTCCTCATCGGTGATTGGGCGCCAGAACTGTAGCTCAGGAAAGGCACACAGGCGGCCAATCACCTGCGAGGAGGCGGAGCTTGGAGAGGAGGAGCCGAGCGGCAGCACGAAGATCGAGTGGGGGAGCGGCCGGAGCAAGTGAAGAAGACAGCTGACCAGTAAGTATGCCGTGCAGATGGTGCTGCTGCAACCAGGTATGCTGGCTGTGGACGGGAGAGGGAAGGAGCCTAGGCTGGAGCAGGGGTCAGGAAGGTAAGTGTCATTGGTGTCAGTGGGAGGAATAGTGCCCCATCATTGGTGTCACTGATGTGATTAAACGGGGAGGGGGGCTGGGGTGCCAATTTTATAGTTCGTCCCCGGGCGCAATATATCCTAGCTACGCCTCTGATACCTGTTCAATTGTTTGCCAAATTTATTGTTTTAATCAAATCACATTGATTGGATAATAAAAATAAAACGGTTTATGGCCACCATAGGGGCATATTCACATTTTCTAATTGCACAGACTCTTGACAGCTCTGATCCTAACAAACTTCCAGCAAACAGACAATCTACAGCCCAAAAGCTCATTTCACACATTGCATTTTGGAATTGGTAGTCTTGTGGCACAGTGTGCTGTGTGGTAGCAAACTGTGGACTCCTATTACATGGGAAGTGCAGTTGGCAAATGTCACCCGAAAAAACATTACATTGCATGCTGTTCTGAGTTCAGTGCAGCGTGAATGAAGATCCATTTGCACAAGGCCACATAATAACCACTACAACAGCATATACAGTATGTACAGTATATGTAATACCCTAATGAACATGTAATGCATATAATAACTTGCATTGCATACAGTCAGGTCCATAAATATTGGGACATGGACACAATTCTAACATTTTTGGCTCTATACACCACCACAATGGATTTGAAATGAAACAAACAAGATGTGCTTTAACTGCAGACTGTCAGCTTTAATTCGAGGGTATTTACATCCAAATCAGGTGAACGGTGTAGGACGTACAACAGTTTGCATATGTGCCTCCCACTTGTTAAGGGACCAAAAGTAATGGGACAGAATAATAATCATAAATCAAACTTTCACTTTTTAATACTTGGTTGCAAATCCTTTGCAGTCATTTACAGCCTGAATTCTGGAACACATAGACATCACCAGACGCTGGGTTTCATCCCTGGTGATGCTCTGCCAGGCCTCTACTGCAACTGTCTTCAGTTCTTGCTTGTTCTTGGGGCATTTTTCCTCAGTTTTGTCTTCAGCAAGTGAAATGCATGCTCAATCGGATTCAGGTCAGGTGATTGACTTGGCCATTGCATAACATTCTACTTCTTTCCCTTAAAAAACTCTTTGGTTGCTTTTGCAGTCTGCTTTGGGTCATTGTCCATCTGCACTGTGAAGCGTCCAATGAGTTCTGAAGCATTTGGCTGAATATGAGCAGATAATATTGCCCGAAACACTTCAGAATTCATCCTGCTGCTTTTGTCAGCAGTCACATCATCAATAAATACAAGAGAACCAGTTCCATTGGCAGCCATACATGCCCACGCCATGACACTACCACCACCATGCTTCACTGATGAGGTGGTATGCTTAGGATCATGAGCAGTTCCTTTCCTTCTCCATACTCTTCTCTTCCCATCACTCTGGTACAAGTTGATCTTGGTCTCATCTGTCCATAGGATGTTGTTCCAGAACTGTGAAGGCTTTTTTAGATATCGTTTGGCAAACTCTAATCTGGCCTTCCTGTTTTTGAGGCTCACCAATGGTTTCCATCTTGTGGTGAACCCTCTGTATTCTCTTGATTGTTGACTTTGACACACATACACCTACCTCCTGGAGAGTGTTCTTGATCTGGCCAACTGTTGTGAAGGGTGTTTTCTTCACCAGGGAAAGATTTCTTTGGTCATCCACCACAGTTGTTTTCCGTGGTCTTCCGGGTCTTTTGGTGTTGCTGAGCTCACCGGTGCGTTCCTTCTTTTTAAGAATGTTCCAAACGGTTGTTTTGGCCACGCCTAATGTTTTTGCTATCTCTCTGATTGGTTTGTTTTGTTTTTTTCAGCCTAATGATGGCTTGCTTCACTGATAGTGACAGCTCTTTGGATCTCATCTTGAGAGTTGACAGCAACAGATTCCAAATGCAAATAGCACACTTGAAATGAACTCTGGACCTTTTATCTGCTCATTGTAATTGGGATAATGAGGGAATAACACGCACCTGGCCATGGAACAGCTGAGAAGCCAATCGTCCCATTACTTTTGGTCCCTTAACAAGTGGGAGGCACATATGCAAACTGTTGTAATTCCTACACCGTTCACCTGATTTGGATGTAAATACCCTCAAATTAAATCTGACAGTCTGCAGTTAAAGCACATCTTGTTCGTTATATTTCAAATCCATTGTGGTGGTGTATAGAGACAAAAATGTTAGAATTGTGTCGATGTCCCAATATTTATGGACCTGACTGTACACTGAAAATGTTCTGTCGTTTTTTTTCCAGTAATAGGTGAACTTGTTTATGTTCTCAATGGCGTGTGATAATTCTCTGTGTCGCAATTGAAGGCATCTAGACATCGGCTTTGTATTTTTGCCAAAACCACCTGTAGATTAGATATTTATCTGCAGGAGTTCTGGTTAAACATGGTTAATTAATTAAGCTTGTGTTCAAACTGCCTTCTAGCATATACGCCAGGAAAGATGTGAGAGTTGGAGGTGTATCCATCCCAAGGACTTTCAGTGTGAATAATGAATTCAGACACCCTGCTGATTTCATTAGAAGACTGCTGTCTTGTTTGGTTTATGTCATGCTGTTTTTCTAACACTTGATGGTCCCAAACCCTGACCTTTGACTCCACAGAATTTCAGTGGCTACCACTTTCTCTGGGATAATTCATTTTCTAGATAAGTGATGGCATAAAAAATACCAAGTAGAGCCTGCCTAATTTTGTATATACAGTGTGTGTGTATGTATGTGTGTATATATACAATATAATTTTTTTTTGGGGAGCTTACATAATACTTTCAATTTCAGGAGCTTATATAGCGCCGTCAATTTACGCAGCGCGCTTTACATATATATTGTACATTCACATCAGTCCCTAACCCTCAAGGGGTGTACAATCTAAGGTCCCTAACTCACATTCATAGATACACATACTAGGGCCAATTTAGACAGGATCCAATTAACCTAACAGCATGTCCTTGGAGTGTAGGAGGAAACCGGAGTACCCGGAGTAAACCCACACAGGCACAGGGAGAACATGCAAACTCGAGGCAGGTGGTGCCATGGTTGGGATACGAACCAATGACCCTAGTGCTGCCAGGCAGAAGTGATAACCATTTAGCCACTGTGCTGCCCATGACTTTTTTTTATATACGCCAAGAATCTGTTTATAAAATTACAAGAGTTAAAAGTGTACTTTTGTTGCATGTTTGTTCTTCAAGGGCTCTTTTAATCTGGTGGGTGATGCAGTAAAAACAGGTGGCTGAGCCATGGTTTTACCACTCCTGACCACCCATCAAAATTCTAATATTACAGCCTAAGAAGCTGCACACATGCCCCGTCCTCAATGCTTTGTTTCAGGCAGACAACCCCAATAGGTCCTCTCTAGGCTCTCCACTGACCGATGAGTGCTGCCTTCGGATGGTCCGTGATCCATGTACAATATTCCAACAAACAAAAAAGAAAAAGTTGCTCAGCTTTATAAAGCCCAAAGTGAACTTTAATGGATACTGGGGTTGATTTACTAAAGGCAAATAGACTGCACTGTGCAAAGTTCAGTTGCACTCTGCAAGTGCAATTTCTCCAGAGCTTCGTAAATGAGGTAAAGATTCACTTTGCAAAGAATACCCAATCACATGCAAGGAAAATAAAAACAAAAAAGCATTTTTGCTTGCACTTGATTGGATTATGGAGGTCAGCAGAGCATCTGCTCATTTACTAAGCTCTGGAGCAACTGCTCTTGCAGAGTACAAAGTGCAAATGTGCACAGTCCTATTTGCCTTTAGTAAACCAACCCCATAGCATGGTACAAAGCTAATCCACCTGCTTCTCTAATGCGATTCACTCTGCTAGGAGCCTAATCATAGGCCACAGCAGTTTTAACTTGGCTGCAGAGTTTGACAAGTGGCACTGCCTATCAGACTTACCTGTGGTGCAGTTCAATAATATAAAATTGTTGTTCTGCAATAAAAAAAAAAAGTAGAAAAAAACCTGGTGTGAGGAAGTGACACTAGCACCTCCTGAACGTCTGCCAGCCGCTGCTATAATCCCCTGCAGATCACTTTTCAGAAGGTCTGAAACAGACCTTATCAGGGGCGGACTGACCATTTGGAAACTCGGGCACTGCCTGAGGGCCCAGGATCAGTAGAGGGCCCCATGAGATGCCCCTGGTACCTTTTTCATAGGCTTTTTTGAGTTTGGGCAAGGACACAGGGGCTCCATGATCCCCTATTGCCCAGGGGCCCCATGAGTTGTGAGTCCGCCCCTGGACCTTATCCAGAAGTACTAAAATAGATATAGCCAGACAATTCGCATATTAGGAGGGAGATCAGCAATGGAAGACATTCTAAAGCAACTGTTAGTAGGTCCTGACATGTAGTCAAACATTTGGCCATTTTTCCCTTTTTGTAACAACAAACTTGTACACACTTGCACCTATGTTCTTAATATAAGCTTTGATGTCATGCAGACTAGGTGGGAACTTTTAATAAGT